TTTCCGTAGCGTTTCAGAGCAGACGAACTGATTTGGATACCTACAGTACTCGTACATGCCTGGACTCCCTCCGGAACACTACATGCCCCCGTATTCTCCCCATGGCCAGTGGCACATGCCGCCGCAAGGCTTTCTTCCTCAACAGCATCATCCGCAAAGCCACCTCTCTCATGCTCCTCCCGGTCCACCCGGGCCGCCCCATATTATGCCTATGTCTCCCCGTAATCCCCGCCGCCACTGAAAGGGCCCAGCGTCCACGCACCTGCACACACCATCCCTGCCCAGCATTCAACTCCCTCAAGCAGCGCGAGCTCCATCTCCTCTCCTCCCTCAACCTCCACATCCCTCAGACCTGTGCTTCCTGTCGGCAATGCGTGGCTGAACACAGGTGCCAGCGCGTTCGTACCTAGACAGTCGAAGGTTTTCATCAAGGCCGCGGACGGCAAGGAGGTGGACTTGCAGGAGCTCAGGAAGCAGCAGGCGCAGGCTGGAGCGCCCATTGCGCTGCCGTCGCCTGCCAGTCCGCGCTGCAGTATCGTCCACATGGAGACCGAGGAGGCGTAGAATCAGCGACTCACGGATGCGCGCGAGAAGGAGAGGCTGAAGAAGGAGGAGAAGTGCAAGAAGAAGGAGGAGGAGGCTGAGGAGAAGGAGAGGAAGGAGCGGAAGGAGCAGGAGCGGAAGGAGCAGGAGCGGAAGAAGAGGCAGGAGGAGGTGAAGGAGGAGGAGGAGCGGCAAGGAGGGCGATGAAGCCGCCTCAGTTCTTAGCTCTGCGCGATATTACTGTACTCTTGATTATGAAAATGTGTTCTTACTAGCTATGGCCACGTTACTACCTGATCCCTCCGGCCTTCGTACATTAACACTAAATTCTTGCGTCCTGGTACATTACCGCTTAGTGATTATCAGGTCCTTGATAGATTCGGAAGCCTCTATTCTTAGTAAGGAGTGCCTTAGGAACTGGGGGAACTTAAGATTACATCTACTGAGCTCATCGAATGCCTTAGTACAGGAATTTGCCCCTTAGCGCACCTGGCGCAGCGTCTCCTGACGTCTTACCTCAACTGACTCGCTGAGATACATCCAACTTAGTAGACTGGGTACGGATTCTCTTAGACTAAGGCAGTAATGGTACTAAGGCACCGCTAAAGTTTCCAAGCGACCTTATTTTCCTTAGTTAAGTCAGAAAGCGGCAAAGCGCGCCTGCCTTTTTGCTGATGTTCGAGTCTTCGACAAGACGCGTGCTACGAAGAAATGGCTGACCTACGCAGAGGAAAACTTGGCGTCCACGCCAGATTACGGGGAGCGGTAAGATGAATCATTATCATGATTCCTCGTCGCTTGTGGATGCCCACGGGACGGGAGGATTGGGTACTATCCAGATTCGTCGAGCTCGCATCACGCGCCCGTCAAGGAACGTACCGGCGCTGACATTCCAATATGTCATACCGGGCTTTCCATCGAACCTCACCAGAAAGCGAATGCTCATATAAGGCCTTCATATGCGGTCCCGGTTCACGTCAAGCCATAACGGCGGAGGACCTGGATGGACATGATCATGCCCTGAAGATATGGGAGTTCACTCGGTCATTGCATGGCTCTCTGAGTCGTTGATGCGCGCCTGTTAATGACAGACGGCACTATCATCCCCAGGTACCGATATCTATACCATCTGGGCATGCACTTATAATTGCAGCGCTACCTGCAGCGCATCCCGCACTGCACTAGCCGTCCACTGGCGTCTCACTCTCACAGGGACTTTTTCGAAACCATGTCCATTATACCCTCGGCAGTTGAATGTGAGTACTACGGTACACGCCACTCTTCAAGGGTAACCCGCAGTCCCGTTAAGATCGCGCTTCTATCGTCATTGCTTTCTCCGTTATTCAAGCTGTTGGCGGTGTTGGCATGCTGAGTGTCTTGCTCACCATGCTTCTATCGAATCGAGTGTGCCGACAGACGACTTGGATCAACTTTTGTGCCTCTTGGGTCGTCTATTCCTTATCGTATTTACTCCTGTGCGTTCTGATGTGAAGGTACGATCCGCCTCCCTTCTATTCCATTGATCAAAAGGGCCTGGCACAGTCCGATATCCAATGAGGAGTTCGGGTCGGAGCCCAACCGTGCATTATGTATTACGCAAGCCACTCTCATCTACGGCGCACCAGTTCTGTACGGTTCAACACTGCCTCGGGGTAGTGGGTTCTCAGCTTTGACTAACATGATATAGCACGGCATACACCACGCTCTCTCCATTTCTACAGGTATAATCCCTCCGTTATTGAGCGCGACGCACGTCGACGACCTTACACTGGCAGCTGTTCCTGAATGCCTACTCGGCATTGCACGACTCTGGAGAATCACGAAAGGGAGCGATCCCGATACCCTGGGTCCGTTTGCCGCCTCCCCTGCTCCAATCGCTTGGTTTGTTAACATACGCCCACCAGCTCCTAGCCGGCCCTTGGATTCTTTACGGCATCGTGGTCGTCGCTGCTTTGGAGGTAACGCCCATCTCGCCCTAATTTCCAAAGTGAAGATCTGGATGTGATTGTTCTTCAGCAAAGCCTACTCCACCTCGACATGGTTGAGAGAGGTCTGACATTTTGCCATATATTACTCAACTTCCCGTTAGTATCGCCAAAGCTCTCCGCATGCAAGAGAACTGACAATAGGACGCAAGTAGGAAAAGCATGTCTGCTTTACTCGTCATCCTGGCGTTGGTGGCGACCATCTCTCTCGAAGGTGATCTATCTGACTATGCCAAGAATACTAATCCTTACTCGATGTCAGTGATCGTTGGCGTCATGCTATACCGCCGCTGGCGATCATACAGGGAGTTGGAAACCTCTAAAGCCCCCTCTCCTGAAATGTTACTCCGGATCTTGCTTTTTACGTTGTTTGCGATTGCAGCCATCTGGTGAGTTGCGTATCCCCCTTGGGCTCGTATGCATCTCCGATATTGGTTTTCAGCCTGGCTGGTATTCTGTTTCTTGTAAGGATGGATACAGTCACGACACAAGTATTACTCTCCCTCAGTAAGTATGCGGTTCCTTGATGCTGCATGGTTATCGATCCTGGATTACCGTAGTGCCTCTGGCAGCCTTTCTAACCCTGGGAGTCCAGAAGGTAAGTAACATAGTTTCCCGATATTCGCACAACCGACTCCTTCCTCAGGATATTATTGAGGTCTGGCTGCGTTGGAGGGCCCAGCCAATTGAATCTGAACTACATTCTGTAAGGAGCTCGCATAGGGACCCGGACCCTTGAATTGTAATTCAGCCCCTGCGTATTGGTGGTTCGCTCAGACCGGCTACGCTGCGATGCTTTGACTGGCAGTACTTGATGCATATACAGAGCAGATATAGTTTATATCTCGGAGAATATACTCAGTTGTAAAGAGTGCTGTGAGGCGAGGCGGGTATGTTCGGGCCTCGCATATCGGCGGGCGACGCTGCTGCAGGACCCCGCCATATTTGTTCTCGATGCGACAGCTGCTATTCTGCGCAACTTTACGATACCGGCCCATATCTCCGGCTTCTCGTTGCGCAAAGTCAGCTAGTCGCCTTCTGCCATAAATCGCACTCGTCGAGTTTAGGACCATGGATGGAAGACAGGTTGCCCAGGAACCGGCAATAGTCTAAGATGCCATCTGTGAGCTTCCAATTGGGGCTTCTGCCTTGACCCAAATGCTCTTATATCGAATACTTGGAGGTCCGGCGGAAACAGTTGGTAAGACACTCGGGATGACAAGTTATTGAAGGTCAGGAAATCGTACGGTCAATTGAAGCCGTCCCGAGGAAAGTCAGCTGAGTGATTTGTTCAGCGAGGGGCGCGGACGCCTTGAACTTCCCCAACACCTAGGTGCAGCTGTGGGCCAACACAGTGAGGTTGGGTACAGAAAACGACTCGAGTCGAATGTCATCTGCAACAGGGTAACCAGGCGAATAACTGAGAATCCGTAATTCTGACATGCAGGAAAGCATTTTAGGCTGTGGTATCAGGGCAGTGCTAGTATCCCAGCCCCAGCCCCAGTCCAGGACCTGTATAGCCTTGCCAGCGCCAACAGTAAAGTCGCGGGCGATTGCGTACGGGGAGCATGCACATTATGCGAATGTCGCAAGGTGAGTATGACGAGGTGGGGAAGGACATGAATGATGCCCATCACATATTCAAAGGCAATGCCGGGTGCCCATGTTACATTGTAACAGTACATGTATAATTAGCCCTTCGAATTCATAAGTGCAGGAACGGCGCGTACATCTGTATGCTTACCGATATAGAAGTGAGTTGATTTACTGTATGCTGCTTTGCTAGCTGTCGAGTCGGCTTCTCAGATTGTATCTTCAAAGCCAGGAAGGACATCTGGACTGCGCAACTCTGTCTCGTGGATGGTCACCGTGACCCGTTATATACGATTATGAACTTGAATTGGTTAATGCATATGAATAGACGTATATTCACATGGGAGGTATTCACGTACTTGGGAAATCAAGTTCGTCTTTACCTGCCGTCCGAATTGAACGCTGACATTCCAATGTTGCCGCTGATTTTGCTGTCACTGCAACTTGCGAACTCCTTGCTGCCGGTATCAGCGGTTGACAACGGGCTGGTAAGAGCTGGAGCTTGAACTCCTTTGGAAGCGCTAGAATTGATGTGTTTACTAGGCGCGCACGCCTCCGCTGGGCTGGGTAATCATATCATTCTGTTGTTTGAAGGTTTGATTCAACTTGAATTATCCACTACAGAACTCATGGAATCGTTTTCAATGCGACATATCGGAAGAGACCATACTCTCAGCCGCGAACTCGCTCGTTAGCACCGGCCTGAAAGACATCGGCTACGAATGTCAGTCTATGAGCCATGGTCAAACTCACGATATTAACATGGGCGGACCACGTTACAGATGTGATCATAGATGATTGTGCGAATCCATACCGCACTTTGTCACTTCTCTTGAGTAACGCCAGACAGGTTGGCATGCTGATTCCAGAGACCCTGAGACCAACGAGCCGCTTCCCAATCCCGACACGTTCCCCAGTGGAATCAAAAGCCTAAGTGATCAAATCCATTCCCTAGGCTTGAAGGTATGGAATGCCCTCGGGCTCTATAGCGTTTTCTATACCCTCATACGATACTGTAGTTCGGGATATACAGCGATGCTGGCCTGTATGTTAGTTGTCTCCTCGGATACTCGGAGATACTCACATGCACAGGTATACTTGTGCCCGCCGCTTTGGCTCTCTAGGTTACGAAGAAATCGACGCGAAGACCTACGCGAGCTGGGGCGTGGATTACCTCAGTGAGCTCTCATCCACGCACCTACTACCGTGACTATTAAGGCCAAACCGTCGGGTAGAGTATGACAATTGCTTCAATGAAGGACTCTCGGGGAACACGTCGATATCGTATTCTAGGTACACCGTTGTAACGATGCTTGCACCCAAGTATAGGCTGACGCTCGAAAGGTACGAGAAAATGGCGAAAGCACTCAACGCTACCGGAAGGCCTATCGTATACGCTATGTGCAACTGGGGTGAGGACCACTCATGGACGTGGGCTGGCGTAAGCAAGTGGATACGCTACCTTACCCAGTGTAGCTAATCTCAACGACCTGTAGGAACTGGCGAACTCTTGGCGTATGTCGGGTGATATAGGGGATGTAAGTGGCCCACATTCGTGAAGACACGGTTCTGAAACCCCCTCTCAACACAGCTGTTCACCGGCTACCACCCATGGTGCCCGTGCACATCCCTAGAGAACTGCACTAATTTCGGAGCTCGTGAGCAGAATATCCAGTCCCTCTATGGCACTACTTCAGAATATTCATATGTTTTCCTAAGGCTGTTCCGTAACGCGAATCCTCGACTGGGCAGCAGACATTGTGCCCTACTCAGATCCGGGGGGGTGGGCGGACCTGGATATGCTGGAGGTATGCACGCCCGGTGTGGTGGAATACGGATCATGAATTCTGATACAAAATCTGCATGAGGTTGGGAATGGTAATATGACGAAAGACGAGTATAGTACGGACATTCCATCGATGGCCTTGGTGACAATTCTGATGCTTTTCCAGTCACCCATTTTTCGATGTGGGCGCTCGTCAAGAGCCCTCTCATCCTAGGCAATGATCTCGCCAACATGGTCCGTCAACGCACATTCCTTCTTTCATTTCTCCTCTGACAGAGACTCGTCCCTCGCAGAGCAAGGACACACTCGAGATCATCAGCAACAAGGAAATCCTCGCGGTTAATCAGGATCCCTTGGGCATCGCTGCTAGTCGCGTTTGGCAAGTCTCTGTCGAGGAAGGAGGGGATATCCAGCTTTGGATCGGCCCGCTGGAACATGGGTAAAGAGCCCACCTTCCTCCCTCTCCTCCGGATCAACTGAGCATCTACGTGCTTTGTAGAGCGACAGTCGTAGCGGTGGTCAACACATCCCCCACTAACGCGACGGTCTCGGTACCGTGGACAGACATCCTTCCATACGAGCTCACCGTACGTTGTGTTCCATGGTGTTGAGGTTCTCTGCTCACTAGCTTCTGCGGCAACGTGTTAGCAGTCCGAGCAACCTGTCCACGTTTTTGACCTCTGGCAGCGAGCTGACGACGCGCAGTGGGGCCTATATCTGGGATCCTTGGGCTCGTCCTTCTCATTCTCCAGCACAATGAAATTGAGGAGTCACGAAACTAAGGTTTACCGACTTGTACCGCAAGCAAGCCACGCAGAAGGTGACCAGTTCAGAGTCCAAGCCTAAGATCAGTTGTGCAGTATTGATGCCTTACAGCACCCCAGCGGAGAGTATGGCAATGCATTGAACAATGTACACTAAAGCTACAATAGCAATATATGTTTGAATCACTCGCGGCGCTTGCGAATTAGATAGTGAGCAGCAGCAGCAAGTGGACGATGGTCCATGTTTACAGGTAGGGCTGATTCAACCTAGAACGAGCAGGGGGGCATAAGGAGGCGTGGTATAAGCGCCGAAGCATCAGGTCAAGAGGCCCGCTTCCGAGATGTAAGAGCGGATGATTGCTTCTCCAACTAGATAGAGAGAGGTCAGTCAAAGTCAATATGTGATCTACAAAGATGCCATGCTTACCGTGAGTAATGATGGTCTGCGTCGTCTTGACATCCTGCGAACCGTGGCGTTGGATACAGTCCTACACACTCCCATAGAAGAGATATATACGTACAATCATAGATGTGAAGTGCTGCACGGTGGAGACCATCAGATGTCCTCAACTACCACCTGGGAGCAACGGAGACTCACAACATAGAGCGGTCGCCGGGGCTGCGAGATGTCCTCGCGCCGATGTGCCTGGATGAAATGCGCGCGGAAGTACTCAGAGACCTCCTCGTAGGTATTCGGGCGATCTCCGAAGGAGGTGATGCTGTCGGTATGATATGGCGTCATCAGAGCGTAGTCAGCATCCCTTCCCTGTCGGCTTACAATTTGCGGACTTCGGTGCCAGCCTCCAGCTTCTCCTTCAACAAGTCCGTCTGGTGAACCCACTGGTGAGCCTAGACACGTAAGGTTGGATGGAGACAATAAGGACGGCACCTTGTTGAGCATCAACACGAGCGACGCTTTCTTTAGCAGCTTGTTCTGGACTATCGTCTTGAACAATTGGAGGGAATCGTCGATGCGATTGGTCTTTGGATCTTCTTCCAGGTACTGGATCATCACGGCGTTCACAGCAGCAGTGCACCAAATCAGCGAACGGAAAACAGACGGACGCGACAAATATACCCACCTGGTCGAACGCGCTTATCGGTGCGAGGAAGATAATCGCGGTAGCTGTAACAGCGGCGTCAGAGGCAATGACGCAGAGTATTCAATGGCAAACCCAAAGTCGAAAGCACCAGCCATTGGTAGGCCACTGATCAGCGCGCTTCCATGGGAGCCAATGAACCCAAACTTGGCGCCGGTGGAAGCAAGAAAGCACCGAAGATATGAGAGAATACCACGCGATATTTACCATCATCGAAGTAAGGCACCCACGCGTGCCTCTGCCCAGATCACGAGCGGAAATAAACCTCATTAGGGTTCGAAGCGCCTGTAGCCCGAAATGTACCCACCTGACCCCTCTAGTGTAATGAAAGAGATCAGAATGGAGGCGGCAAAGGAGAGGAAAGAGTCCTTACAGCACCGCCGACGTCGTACATGAGCCAGTTGTATGTCACGCCGTTGACGCGCACGTCGTAGGCGTGTTCGACGACTCCGAGCGTTTGTAGTCGAACGTGGAGGATGTCGTCAAGGGTTGGGAGGTAATCCGGCGCGGCGATGCGATGGATGTTCTCCAAGAAGCTATTCAAGCGTCGTAGGTCGCACAAATCCCGGGACTAAATCCGGCGGACACTCACAAAGTCCCCGACTCGTCCAACCTGAGCTTTCTCCGGCGAATTAAGATACGCACGGCAGGATGCTGCCACAGATCCTGGATCGCATACGCGGTCTCCATCAGCGTCCGTGCCGCCAAGTTCGTCACGGCGGGTATATTGGCATTATTGCGGATGTCCGCCAGTGGCCAGCTATTCTTCGGCGTCACGAGTGCCTGCCAGCCCGAGCGGACGTAGACACCTGAACGGCCACCAGAGACGGTGATCCCGCCACTGAGCTCGGACGCAAGCGCGTCCTCAATGGCGACCAAGGGAAGCAATTGTGCGCGTAGTTCTGCTAAGCCTATCCGCCAATCCGAGCCGGCCGTGCTCGGCGGCGAAGGTGCTGGAGACGGGTGGGAGACATCGCTCATAAATTCATAGTCTAATTCTTCGATAATTACGCGCACGGCCTTGATGATGTTGAAGTAGACAATCGGTGTCCACGATGGACGCTCCGTGTCTATCGTCTTCGCCGCGTAATGCAGCTGGAACTGCTTCTGGAGGGTAGACTTGCCGGACTCTGCCTGACCGAGTAGCATAACTGCGTGCCAATGTCAGTATTCACTCATACATCACACATGACCTCGATACGCACCCTTGACCTCTGGCTTCGCTGCCTTACGTTTCCGAATAGCGTCCCGCTCTTGCTGACGGCCCCTAAGCATGTCCGACTGCCATCAAGATAGAGATGGCGTGCATACCTTCAACCACTCATCAATCTTGCTGTTTATTATGACCTTCTGCGAGTCGTCCAGAGCGCGCGGGACGTCCATGGCCGGTAGGGCAATCATTGGGACGGAACTTGCATGAACATGCCCCTTCGCCATCTAGCGAACGTCCGGCGTCCTAGGTGAAGGATTGGGAAAGGACAGAAGCGAGATCAATCATTTTCGTGGACGCAGTCCTCGTCCAACTAATAACGCTGCCAGACACGCGATCCCACGGAGTCAATTCCACCTGTTGCTGAGAAACAAAGCGCCAGCAAAATGTGGCGAGGGGGATCGACAGGGGAATATGAAATCCTTTTGTGGAAGCTGGCGCCCTTATGCGGATACATCGTTTCTTCCATCAAGCGTACAAATCACCTTTGCGTCCCCCATCATCGACCTGGGACCTGCCAAAGATCCGCTGTTTCAAGAAGCTGCGATGATGTTGTATATGAATGCGCAGCATATGCAGCGACCGACCCCGAGGCGCTGTAAAATTGATATCCTGCCTTGTGCCAGATGATTGCCAGAGGGAGCAGATGTCCATCAGCATTCAACGCCAATATTCAGCTTCTATGAATCTATCAGTTACAGTTGGGTGGAGAGCAGACCACAGCAGTTCCTGCTCCATCCATCCATTCACGGTATCCTAACTTGTAGCGAGACTTTACAGGACATGCAGAGGTAAGTATGGTTTTTCAATTTGATGTCCCAGCGATTTCCACCGGTTTACACAGTTTCTGTGAGGCACAGCATGGCCTTCATGATCACGGTTGCCACAAAACGTAAATCGGCATATGTGCCTTTCAAGTCAACCTTTCATGCAATACACTGCCACGTAGCCCGATGGCCTTGGAAGATGTGTAAGTGAAAGCGATGCGCGGAGACAGATTTGCTATTCAAAAGTGACCCTCGCATCATCACGGCGAGAGTGAGTCAAAGTGCAGAGTGCAGTTTCCACTCGCAGAGTCCGCGTCTCATTCTTTGTTGCTACGACTTGTTCCGTTGCTCATTGTTGTAATGACAGCCCCGATTGGCATTCCCCGCCTTACAATGTCGTCCGGGGAGACAGCATCATATTTCGGATAAGGACACTCAAACCCCAAGGATCATCGCCACAGCTGCGAATTCACCGGCAGTACATCATCGACACCTCGCCTCATGTGCGCCGTCCGGGGCTTGCGATGGTGCATGCAGATCACTTTCAGGCCATGAACAACGTGCTTCTACAAATTCGTTCTTGCACTACGTATGAACGAGCAGCCAGGACTTGGTCGCCTCAGATTGCCACCTGAGGCGACCAAGTCCTGGCCAGTGATTTTGATGCATTAGAACGCCATGCACGTCTGAGATGCGCAGCTTGAAGCCTCGGTTGATTTGCCAAGGTTTTCAGCTACCTCACTGTGGGTGGGCAGTTCTGGATGACATGACGTTCCTGCGGCTTGCGCCTTGTCGTCTAACGGATTGCAGTTACTCAGTCGTCGGCGCCATGGACAACTTCGAATCGCAATACACTACAAGCCAGTAAATCGAGTCAGCCTGTACAGCGCGACCTGTCCAACTGCAGCGGCTGCCATAGCTTATATTGTGGCATGATAGATCATGTCCGCTCTAAGGACATCTCACAGATAGATACTACGCAATATTTACAATAAGCAGGGGGGGGCATCATGCCAGAAACAAGGAAGGGAATATATACTAGGTGGAGGTATCGTTGACAATCGTGATCCAGCAATACATTACAGCGGCTCAGCCCTCCTCCTCCGCATATCCTGTCGCACCTCCTCGTCTTCGAGCGCATCTTCGATCGGTTGCGCCCTCACCGGCTCTGTCAACATCGGCTGCGAGAAGTGCTCTCGTAGCTTGTTGCTCGCTTGCCGTTGCACCTGCGACGCGATTCAGTGACCAACAGCGGTGAGATGCACCACGCGCTCACCTCTCCGCCCACAGTCCGTGTGATCTGCAACAGTGGCCCAGCGAGGTTAAGTTTGAGGATGATCCATCTAAAAAACAGGTGATCAGAGATGCGGACTGGGGCTGATACGACATGGTGAGACGTACGCTGAAGCCAACATAACAAGCACCATGGTGAAGTACAGCGGGTTGAACAGCACAGCCATAGCCTCGTTCCATCCAAGCACGACGAGCACGCCGTACATCCAGTACGGAATCTGCGCGACGCTCGAGACCGTGCTCCGCTTCGCCTCGACATAGTAGGCATCAGCGTCTCGTCGGAACTTGTTCATAAGATCCAAACATTTGCTGTCGGAGAATATGATCAAGGTGGCGGGGAAGTCAAACTCGTCACTGTTCGTCAGAGAATCCGATGGCTCGGATGGCAGTGTGAACTCCAGTGATGGATCGGTGGGGGCAATTTTAGAGTAGAGAGAGATGAGCTCGAGTGTCTGTGAAGCACGTTAGAGACCCGCGCCAGTTGCGATAATTTCGGGAAAGCTGTAAAAAGCGTACCTCATCCTTGGCTCTCTTGAACGCGCCGTCAATGTCATCATCCGGCTTCCACACCCGGGGCACTCCTTGCTCGTCATATCTGAACCGTTCGTCAAAGTGCGCGCGGAGCTTTCCGAGGAAGACAGTATCGGCCGTCTGTTCATCGATCTTTGCTCGAAGCACAAGCCATGCACGCTTGCGCAGCGTCGCCAAGGCGGATTTGTTTTCTTCCTCAGTACAGTTGAAACCTGATCATTAAGACCGTCAGAGATCGTATTCAGGGAAAAGTGAGCTCCTTACTCTTCGCCTTTGCAAGGTACGTGGACTCGGCCTTGACCAGGGTCTCCTTGAATGTCTTCAGAACTTTGTCCCACATGTCCGAAGAGGGTTGATTGAGGTACAGCTCTACAGGCTCTGAGATCTGCTTCTTGATATTTCTCTGCGATGAAAAAGCGTAAGATCCTTATGCTGCGCCAATCCAGGATCACGACGACTGACTTCAATCGCGTTGACCATCTTCTTCGTCTCGTCCTTCCGACACTGGTCCGCGACGCTCTGCGTCTCCTCCTTCAGAAGCCCGTACTCGTCCTCCCAAGCCCAGTCCGTGCCCTCGACGCAGGCCTCCGTGGCACCCTCGACGAACCTGCCTTCCCATTTTTCCCGCGCCCTGCCCACGACGTCGGCGAAGTTGTAGTCCTCGCCCTTCAGCGAGTCCAGCACTTCCTTCTTGAAGGCAACAAGGCACGACTTGTGCAGGTTCTTCAGTTGGCCGAGGAAGAGCGGCGACAGCGTTGAGTCGATGACCGAGATGAGGTCCTGACGCTTGCGCTTATAAACACCCTTATGGTACCGCGAGGCGTCACGATCATAGCGGGCTGGAGTACAGTCAGAGTTCAACACAGATTCTGGAAGACAAGGACGCGGAAGTACTTACTCAGCGCCTCCGTGCGCCAGTTCCGCATCAACTGCCCCAAGCCGTCGACGACCCTTCCGGCTTCGATAGGCTTGCGTTGAGACTTGGCTTGCTCATTGAAGTCAACCAGAGCGGCGGTCGAAATCTCATCGCAACGGAACTGAGCCAGCAATTCCTGCTGTGTAGGCAGATCCAAGTCCTTGTTGCTCTGGACTTGTTCCTAAATCGTAACCCGCAGTCAGGAGACTATCCATAATCATGTTTGATGCAACGCACCCAAATACCCTCCATGTAGAAGGCAACACCATCTGCCGGGATACCTTTGTGGTACGCCGGCTTGAAGACGAAATCATCCCTGTCCTTCTCGACAAACCGTCTCCTTAGGTTCTTCACCTCCGCTTCGAACTTGTCGGGAACCAGGATTTTGTGGGGAAGGCCAGTGAAGGCCAAGTCGAAGTAGTCTGAAAGCTTGCAGCCTTCCAATTCCGGAGGCTTCGATAGACCCTCCCAGATCTTGTTCAAGTCTGCGGTGATGGTGGCTTGCAGATTTACAAGAGGTGTTGTTCCAATGTGATCACGGATGACAAAGAGGAGAAGGGTCCGTTGGTTGGCGCTGCATATCCGGTCAGACTACGTCCTCACGCGAGGGCCGGACGGCTACTCTTACCCTCCCTTTGGAGACTTCTTTCCGAACAGACCCAGGTTGACTTCAAAGACGGTCTTGAGAAGACCCATGTTCGCCCCCTGGTACAATCCCACCTGGTGCTCCCACAGGTTGACGATCAAGACTTCTGACGAAGCCATCGAGAACAGAGCGGACTTCCGCTCAAAGTCCTGCGGCGGACCGGTGAGTTGAGTGGATGAGGTGAGGTGAGAGACACGAACCTGGTCCTCTCCGCGTTCACGCCCGTCGGTTCCCTCCACGTCCATGACCAGGACATTCATATCTTTCCCTCGACACATCCAGATACCTGGCGAACGTTATTAGGAGCTATTACATATATTGAGCGTACTCACCCTTTGTCGTCTGCTGTCGTCTTGTCTCGTCCATGACGTCGAACGTTGTACCGAATAGTCGGTTCAGTAGTGTACCTTGCACCCCTGTAAGCCAAGCTCTCAAGGACAGGCACAAGACACGCACTCTTCCCTGTTGACTGGGAACCAAAGACTGCAACAATGTCGTAGTCGAATCCTACATCCCGCAGTCCCCAGCGCTCGATTTGCTTCGACAGGTCCGGTCTGTAGTAGACTGTGAGCCAACACCCGACGACCACGCAACCGCACAGAGACGTACGTGAACTGCTTCTCGTCGTTGATAATTTGGATCCTCTCGAAAGTGGCCCCAGACGTTGACGCCGAGCCATTGGCGGCGTGTCCATTTGCACCGTTGACGCTGAATGCAGATTGCGTCCTGAGAGAAGCGGACTCAACCTTCGTGACGACCCTTGAGCGATACATGTGCGGGATACTGAAAGAATCACTCACACTGTCTGTCATGACTTAAATACAGTCGTTAAATGAACGTGGCGGAAACAGCGAGGACTCGGAATGAAGGAGTAGGTGTTGGAGTCGCGCCTCCGTCGCGCTGGTGAACAGGCAGCGCTATAGCTAGCGTCACCGCATTGGCAGGCAATCACCGTCCCGTGCTGTGCAATGCGCCCAAATCGGATTTGTGGCTGAAGACCTCTGGCCGACTTTGCGCGACGAGAAAGCCTCAGAAAGGTGCCGGTATCATAAACTCGCGCAGAACAGCAGGTTCGCATTGAGAACAGATATGGCAAAATTCTGCAGTGACAGCCATATACGATGGCGGAATATCCCCGTAAGAATGCACAGGTCTTTCATGCCTAGGCCTGCCTCTCATCAATAACCGCACAACGATCTCATAACCATACGACAGTCTCCTCCGGTCGCTCGGTTGGGTTAAGAGGAACATCAGTCCAGTATATTTATACAGGCGTCTAGTAGAGTTCATACAAGGGAGTGGCCTTAGCGCTGTGGAATTATCTCCACCGCTGACTCGCTTGACATCTCTTCTTTGACCTCTTCGCTAAGTCCATTTGGCTCTGACATGTTAGTACGTTGTACACCGTCAAATAATCTTCGGGGCACGTCAGCAAAAAAGACAGATCCCATACGTGGCCACTTACGCTGACGTCTCTTCCAGAGTTCGCTAGTCCCAGTCGTTAGCATAGCCCTCGGGTGTAGAAGAGGGACGCTCACGTTCTTGGTCTCGAGCACAAAGGCGTACACGAATATAGCTTCGAATGCTAGCCAGCAGACGTAGACAAGCTGCTCGCGGTCAGGACAACTCCGGGTGCCCGGCAAACGGCGACATACATAGTACTTCCACCCCAATCTATGCCGCCATAGTCAGACAGGATGAAAGCGGAGAGAGGTATATGCTTACGCTTTCAGCGCTATCGGGTTCACATATCTGCATGTCATTGAGCAAAGTCATTGAGGTGCGGATGAGGTGGGACACAGCTGTCACTTACTGATTGAAAATCAGGGAGACCGAGACCGTGAAGAAGAAGAGTGTCAGCCCTTTGGCGCGCAATTCGAAAGGCAAAATCTCCACGGTGTAGCTGTCCGGTGATGGTCAGCTCAAGCATGCAGACCTGGCGACACTTCGCTTACGATACTATCAGGGGCGTGAACGCAAGCTGCCAAGTAATGGGCGTCACTCAGATGTCAATGGGTTCTGACGTGCCATGTTTGACTCACATCGTAAAACCCGTAAAACAAAACTGTTCCAGCCGCAACCATAGCAGGTCAGTCACCTTACCGAAACGAAGCAACTTGGAATGGCACTTACAGATGAAAGCCATAACAGCGTGTCCAGCGGCCAAGTTAAGGTGTATGGAGTACTCTGCGAAGCAGACGGTCTGCAATGTCCAGAACACGACCATACCTAAGACAGACGAGTCATTCGAGTAAGCTATCATACGTATGTCGGCCTTCCATTGCAGCGCACCGATGGTGGAGACCATGAATAAGGTCCGCCTCCCCAGCTTTTCGCACAATAAGCCCGCAGAGATGGCAATGACAAAGTTCCAGATGTTGAGGAGCCCATTCTGCATTTATGCTTAGATTAGGAGTAATTTCGACATCAAAGAACTTACGATAAGGAGCTGCACAGTGGAACCCGTAACTGAATGGAAAGTTTGAGCGTCATACCACCGGCTCAGCGTTCTATTCACCTCCTATATCCGTCAGAACCTTGCTGAGATCTTTCGAGCCACAGTCAGTGAAAATACAGGCGAAACACAAATGCCTTACAATACGATCTACCAGCAATAGACAGCTAAGGATACGTCATCGCTGGAAAGAGCACCACGCACGTTAATCCATTTCCAGACCACTGAGAGAAGACGGCCAAAGCCACAATAACGCGAGTGCGCCTCCTGTTCCCGGGCGTCTTCAATAAACTTGACCATCCGACACTCTTTTTCGCCTCGGTGTCGCGTAATATATTCCCCTTGATCTCTTCGAACTCACGTCCGACTAACGGATCCTGTCTAGAAGTAGTGTGGACAGGACATCCCAGCGACCATCGAGACCACGACTCACTCATTACCATCCGCATGGTAGTAAGCAAGGGTTTTCAGTGCTTCAGTTTCCCTATGGTCGTAAGCAATTACGGTGGGATCCAGACGCAGAACGCCTTTCCAACCAGACTTACCTTCCTCTGCTCAAGAGCCAACGAGGAGACTCCGGAGCGAACCAGATAAGGGTGATCTGGATCAGAGAAGGTAATCCTTGCAAGGCAGAAGGGACTCTCCAGGCCCAGCTACTCGGGATGTTGAAAGTACCGAACGTCTGGCGGCATCCCTCCATTAATCACAACGAACAAGGTTAAATCCACTGTCCTACACACCGTCCACGCCGCTCTATGGTAGGTAAATATTAGTACCCTCTCCCACGTCAACAGTACAATTGCCCTCACATTATGCTCCCTAAAAACCTATCGCGTCTTTTCATGAGCCCAGGGTTACACGAGAGACGGAGTAACTGACCAGACACTGTTGTATAATGACGTTGCCTGGCCTCGCTGACTGGGATATGCTATCTCCGAGATCAGCAAAGGAGCCGCCGCCTGCGCGAACGTCAGTCCAAAGCCGATCAGGAACCTGTTCAGCGTCGTAAGTAATGGTACGACCCTAGGCATCCGCTCCGCTTTATCCTCACCTAGCACCGATGAACATGCGGACGTTCTGAGATGCTGTCTGTATGACGGTCGCGGCTAGCATGAGCGCCGCACCGAGGCCGACGGAGAACCTGCGGCCCATTCCGTCGGTCAGGTAAGGCGAGAATGGGTACGCGGCGAGGCAGCCGATGTTCTGAGTTACACGAGGTAAGTGGAAGGTAAAGTCAAGCGTGGAGTATGCGTACTTGGATCGCGTTCAACAGGCCCAACTAAAATGGATCGTCAGTGTCATCTAGGTCTCCGAGATTGTTGACGCACTTGCTGGCCCTGCGGATTGTTGAAGGATGCATTCCACTGGTCCAGTGATTGCAGCCCGTCTGGTCAAATTCATACAGATCAATCAATCGGTGGGACGAAATGGCACGCGACGGGCAGACGTACTCATCATGCTCCCTGGTAAAAGAGTGCGATCTCATGCATAGAAATCAGGAGCAGAGTAAAAACATACCATCGTATCCATTGGTCGACGAAGTGATGAGTCTGGAACCTCATTAAATCATTCCTGGTACGTCCAGGTCTCGAGACGTCTACTTACAGCAGAGCGATCCAAGCATTCAGCGTCAGAAGACCTACACCTATCTGTTAGGATAATATAGTATGACATAGACACAGAGTATACATACGTCGGTTCTTCCACCATGGACGAGAGCACTGGATGAGGCCGGCAAAATTATTACCGTCGGCAACGATAACTGGACCTGTGCCCATGGTGATCCCCAGACAAGCAGCCTATCGTACAGGACAGCGGGGGCGGGGTAAGAATTCAGCAAGGAGCGGTAGATTATGGAGCCCTATCGTTTGATATTCCCTGGCTCGTATATGGTGTGGGATTGGAGCACACCAAAATTAACTGGGTACGATCTACGACGAACTCGGACGGCCGTTCTCATCGATGCCAACAAGGGTTTGATAGAGCTAGGCTTTCCCGGAGTACTGTGGAGCGAAGAAGCTTTATATATAAACACGAAGACGAGAAACGCGGGACCGTACCTTGAGACTGGACCCCGTTCCAGTACTTACAGTGACCGGTCCGAGCCGTGGCATCTGTACGGCAGCCTACACTGAAGACGGTCCAAGTTAGTTCGTGTGTAAATTCTAAGAACCGGTCCATTGTCGCATTTATCCTAGTGCGCGAACCCGCGACGTACCCTGCTGGCCTTCGCATGAATCCGCTGGGCGACGAAATCCACTACTTTGTGTACCACTGTGTACGGAGTCGTGGACATCCTCGTCCACTACTGCGTGTACCGCTGTACAAGGTGTCATGAACATACTAGCGTCTATTACTCTAGATGTGTACCGCTGTACACGTGAGTCATGCATCAGGAACCTCGGAAATCTCCATATGCTCCATATGGAGTCACACGGAGCCCCGGAGCGACGGAGAGGTCCCCCCATCATCCCGAGACGGCCATCTCCGTCCGGCTCAGGACGGAGACAGCGTCTCCAGATGGAGACTCCTGGAGACACCACGTGGCTTCGGCGGGAGTTTGTATACCTGACACTCGATATCTATCCCTCACATAGGGACCGGATATTGGCTTATGTTTTTGCTATACGTGCTCCTCTTTGCATTCGAGCAAAATTTAGCACAGATTACTGTATATTAGCGGGGGGCGTGTCTCCGGATGGAGACCTCGTCTCCGTCTGGAGAACCTGTCTCCATCCCGCACATGGCGGAGCCGCGGAGACGCTGTCTCCATCCGGAGATATTCCGGTTTCCTGATGTGGACCATGTTTCTGCGCCGGAATATTGCGTTATTTGCTAGAAAAAATATCTGGAGTATGGGCACCTGGATGCTTAATTTTTTTGCTCAACATAGGGAATTCCTGATGTAGTTGGCGACGGGTCGAATATCGAGGACGAAAGCACAAGTTGAAGGTATGGGCGTACAAGTTCAAGTTGCCACACTAGCGTCACGTGGATGGCGCGCCTTGCGGGGCTCTGGTGTACATGTCTAGCGTTGCGGCGCCGTTCGTTCTCTTAACCACGCCGTCTGCGCATTTATCTGCGGTTATGGTCTTCACAAAGGTCGGTCACCTGCAGCCTTTCCCTTTGGCATGCTCCTCCTGTTACGGCTTCCAAGAGGGAAGGGGAAATCGCTTACTTGAACGGGTCCTGTCAGGGGCATGACAGAAACGAGCGTCCAAGTCCACGTTGTCTGGCTCAGTCATCTGGATACCCAACTGCCCAATCCATTACAGGTGGACAACCTTGGAAAGCTCGAGTGAGGGGAATGCTTTGTGTATGGGTGAGCTGGAGGACCGGAGACAGCCACATTTAATGGATGGTTGTTGCTCACGAAGCCACACCTGCCGTTAACTGGTGCTGTCACAACGGTGCGCATACAGCCTTTCTCCAAGGCGAATACTCCTGCGTCTGATACGCTACGCTACACGAACATCTATGTGTTGCGAAGAAAGGAAGCAGGAGACGCCGACGCCACACGGTGTTTTCGAGAGGGTAATCGAATGGCGTTCTCCCAATGCAGTATGGATCTTCACTATGGTGAGTTCTTCGACGTTCCTCGCGGTGCGGGTCCTTTCGTAATGGCCTTTCTTCTATATACATGAGGCCTTCTTTCAGCAGGCCTTTGTCTGTCGATACACTTCTCTCGTTCTCTCCACGACGAAGCCGCAAAATTTCGGGTACGATCTCTCGAAGCCAGTCGTCCTTGAATCCGTGGAATGCGACTGAAGCTCGTCCGAGATTCGAAACCTCATCAATCTCTCGTATAATGAAGGTTCCCACCACATTGCAATATAGGGTAACTGGACGCAGTTTATGTCCTGAACTTGAGCAAGGTTCGTGCTCATCTGGCTTGGTCCACGAAAGATCCGCATGCCAGCTTTCATTCCGGGCCCATTAGACAGATCGTTTCCGAATGGCCTTTCCAGAAAAACCGCAGGGACAAACATGTATGCCGTCACGGTAGGGCTAGCAATCGCGTTGACTCGGCGGATTACCAAGGCCTTGGAGGTCCTGTGCGCGCACATTCTACATTCCAGGTGGGGCTTTTTACCTCTGGAGCCTGCGCTACGGCTGGAACTTGCTATAGCCGCCATCGGGGGAAAGGGGGCTAAGTATGGTGGTCGACCCGTCCTTTCTCCTGCATTCCACAGACCCTTCCATTTTCCCAACGCGAGCTCTCAGCTCGGGCAGCGTGGTAGCCCTTTCAGACTATTTCGGTCGATAAGCTGATCGCCAGCTCGACATTGCTGACTGCGTCCGTCGAGGCGTTCGCATGTGCCTATCATACCACTTAGACTTTGGCCCCGCCACGCCGTTCCAGTGTGTTCTTGGGGTCGCCGCCTTGCCCAGACGCAGGCACCTGACCGGCTCAACCCGCCGTTTTCCCCGGTACGATTGCCTTTTATGGTATTCTCAGCGCAACGTGGCCGAAGTCTAAAGGTAGCGCGGCCGGGGAGTCCCTCAATACGTCTGACGAGCGGAAATTCTCTCGCCGTTGCCTACGCACTCGCCGTGCATGGTTCCGCGATAAGTCGTCTTAGTTCTGGCCAGCGGACGCCGTCATTATTTCTCTTACTTGACGCCGTACTACCACTATGGCTCCTCCGCCGCCACCGCCGCCGCCGCCTCCCCCTCCGCTATGCCTGCCGTTCTCCTTCAAGCGGTCCAAGTCGACGCGTCCGGGGCCTCAGCGCTCGGCAACATACTCTGAGAAGTCGGAGCGCTATTCGCACAGATCGAACGAGCTCTCGCGGTCGAACTCTTTCTCTCCGACGGCTACTCTCACGTCGCGCGCAGAGAACTTGACATTCGTGTCCGATACCGAGGCGTACGATGTCCCGAACATCGCTACCCAGGTCTCGGAGAAGCTGCAGAGGTCGGATTCGAAGAAGCAGTGGGGTTATGGATGGGGGGCGGGGAAGAAGGACGTTGTCGTGCAGGAGAAGGAGGTCACGCGCGAGATGAAGGAGAGAGAGCTGCCGGATAGGCCGAGGACAGAGAGTAATAGTCGTCAGTCCAGTCAGCAGCCTTCGAGGAATTCCTCGCAGAGGAGCAAGCAGAGTTCGCGGAGTGCCGCCCTTCGTCCGTTCGTCGGTCGCAATGATTCGACAAGCACCCTCGTTGGGTCTGCGTTTGAGAGAAAGGTCGTGGATGCCAATGCGCCAATCAAGGAGAAGCCTGATACATACGATCGGCTGGAAGACCTGCGCAAGCTCATGCAGAAAGACTCGTTGGATTATTAGTGCGTGATGTGTGTGCTCGGCTGCAGCGTGCACTTGAGCTTAAACATTGCCCTTGTTGTTACAGCGTCATCCCCAGCGAGGATGCCCACGGCTCTGAATATGTCGCGCCGAGTGACAAGCGCAGGGAATGGATCTCTGGGTTCGTCTAGGGCGCGTGCAGCCTCTGGTCGAGCTTAGCGTACTAATGTCGGTCTTATAGATTTACAGGATCCGCTGGGCAAGCCATCGTGTCGAAGACGCAGGCATACCTGATCACCGACTCTCGTTATTGGCTGCAAGCTCAGAAAGAGCTCGACGAGAACTGGCATCTTATTGCCGCTGGGGCACCTGAGGCACCCAAAGACTGGGTGGAGTGGCTCGTCGTACGTTTCCTTTCCGCCTCGTTTTCGCCGACATTTGTCGCGCGAGAAAAGCAAAGAGTGAGCTAATTCCTGATCTATAATAGGACCGGGCGAAGAACTCCAAGATCGGTATCGATGCAAGGATGATTACTCATGAGAAGGCGTCACAGCTCAGCGCGCAGCTGGCGGCGAAAGGCTCGAAATTGATCTACCCGCCTCAGAATCTAGTGGACTTGCTGTGGAAGGATAAGCCCCAGCGGTCGAAGGAACGTATATTTATTCAAGGACGGGAGTTTACCGGTCAGTATATACTACAATCGCCTCGCAGCTTTGTGTGCTGATGTCTCACGGGTCTGACAGGCAAGGACGCTACTGCGAAACTCGCCGAATTGAGGGAATGGATCAAAGCACAACCACCGGCAACCCTATCTTATTCACAAGCGCCGCCCACGCCAGCCCAGGTGCACGTTGGCACGCTCATAAGCTCTCTGGCTTCAATCGGTATGCACCGTTCCGTCAGCTCTCCCTATAGAACATCCTAAAACGAGATTCATTGTCCCAGCCTATCTCCTTAACCTACGGGGCCAAGATATACCTTATAATCCTGTTTTCCAAGCATATCTTTATGTTGGATTGGACCGAGCGATATTATTCATTGAAGCGGCCAAGGTTGACGAGGAAGTTTCAAGGTATTTGGAAGGCCTTAACGTCGAGAGGAGGGACTACAACGATATTTGGACGTTCTTGCGCCGTCGAGAATGGAAAGAGGGAAAGGTGCGCACATCAAGCCATTGCTCGTTGAAAGGCTTTTGCTCATATCGTTCGCAGGTCATCATCTCACCGCAGACCTCGTATGCGATTTCCCTGATGCTCACACATCTACGATACACTGTCCTGCCATCTTACGTGGAGGAAATGAAAGCTGTAAAGAATGAAGTGGAGATAGAGGGAATGAGAAGGGCATACCTGCGCGATGGTGTTGCCTTTGTAAGCTTACTTGAGCCGGTATTACGAGTAAAGGTACTAACTGCGCTCGCCGTTCAAGGTGCGATGGTTCGCTTGGCTGGAGCAGAAACTGCAGCAGGGATATGAGATCACGGAGTACGAGGCGGCTTACAGGCTAACTGAGTTCCGCCGGCACCAGAAACACTTCATGGATCTTGCTTATGAGAATATCTCCGCGAGTGGTCCTAACGCAGGTTTGTCCTTCCTGCTATTGCATTCCGTTTGACATGATGACTCACTCGAACACAGCACTCCCTCATTATACTCCTACTCGGGCCACGGCAAGAGTTATTGATAGAGAGACGCCTTACCTGAAGTATGTGGAGTCTGCACAGACTCGGGGTAGTCCCGGATTGCTGACTTCGTTGTATTATGTAGTGATTCCGGCGGGCAGTACAGGGATGGCACTTGCGACACAACTAGAACGGTCCACTTCGGTCGACCCACTGACGAGCAATGCGAAGCCTTCACCCGCGTTTTGCAAGGTCATGTAAGCAATTAGGATGCTAATGTCACGACACCGCTCTGATTTTCTCTTGATGCAGATTGCTATCGACAGCGCAATCTTCCCCGAGGGCACGACGGGTAAAGCGCTTGATGTATTGGCTCGCAGAGCCCTATGGCAGGACGGTATGAATTACATGCACGGAACGGGCCATGGCGTGGGTTCGTACTTGAATGTCCATGAAGGCCCGCATGGATTTGGGATCGATGTTCCACTTGTTCCTGGCAACGTCATCACTAATGAACCCGGATACTGTGAGTACATCGTGGATTTATTGGAGACGAGCACTGACATGGAACTGTCAGATAATGCCGGCAAATGGGGAATAAGGATTGAATCCGCACTGGTAGTCAAACGGGTCACGGTAAGTCTCCCGTGTAATGTCTTCTTTCTGCTTCTTATTCTGGCACTCCCAGACCAAACGAGAATTCAATGGTGACATTTGGCTCGGCTTTGACCGTCTGACATGCGTTCCTATCCAGACGAAGATGGTTAAAGAGAGCATGCTCACCAAAGAAGAGAAGGCTTGGCTAAAGGTTCGACACCTCGTAACAACATGAGCGATCACTTCACTAACCCTGTTCTGCTATAGGATCATAACAGACGCTGCTACGAGAGGCTTGCGCCATTCCTTAAAGACGTAGACAACCGAGCCCTGAAATGGCTAAAGAGAGAATGCGAACGTGGTCTGGGGCTCGCTCGAGCTGGCCCCGGGGGACTCACTATCGACTGGGATTAGAATCCCAATCTGCTGTGCGGAGGTTCGATCACCTTTTATCTACTGCTTTCGACTAAATATTGTTACGACTATCTTACGACCATCGCCACGAGGGCGTCGTAGAGCGTCCTCGGCGGTTATATGATATTTGCGGAGGAACTTTATTCTTTGGAGTCTTTATTTCTTTCAAAGCGAGCGTGAGCTCGCTCTTCATTGTGGATCTTTGGATGTTTTGTACATTTCTCTTTCCATGTTCTCGTTCCATGTTCCGTTCCCTCTGCTCAATGCTGGCTGCGAGCCCACGACTAGCGGGATGCCTCTCACAGACCTCTGTTATCTCCTGTAGTCTGATATCATATACTTACGTGCCAATCATAACGACAAACATAGATCACCGAGACAGTGGCAGAGCAGAGGCTGCTGCATCTATACTATCCGTTGTTGCTCGAGGGAAGTGCATACGGACCTTCAGGCTGACAGCTGCTCGGTTTTTTAACAGGACAACGGGCATGAAGCTTTGAAGCCCCACTTGCACGTGCGTACGGTACGCTGCAGCCTGACAAGATCTGATTATATTATTGATACTGATTGTATCTCAAATCGGCTTTCTAGTTGCAGTGTCTCAGCCATACTAGTAGGATGCCGACTCTGGTGTCCTGCAGTACGAACTCGTCGTTCCCCGTCCCAGGCGGCTAGGCCAAGCAGAACGGATGACTAAGCGAATATGGATGCCGTATCTGGGATCCTTTGACGTCCACTTCGCCCGGCACAAGAGAAAATCTTGAATGTTGATCATGTATCGTCAGATGAGAACAGTTGGCTCGTCCAGCAGCCCTTATAACGCGAGCCCGTAACTGCCTTGCCGACCTTTGTGCGTCTATCTGTTTGCCTTGTCATATATGAACCCCCACCACACTCCTTACGTTTTGTCTTACTTGTAACTTCCAAACCATCGGTCCCCTGAATCTTAGTTCGAAAAGTAAGCCGCACTCCCGTGTTTGGCATGCCATTCTCATCAGCAGCGTTAGTGTTGCCAGAAAACAGCAATGCTCGCCTGTTGCAGGCATTTATGGGGCTTCAGCTATCCGCTGGTATTGCGATTACTTTCACCACGCTGACGGTCCTGTTGTCCGCCCGCGTGAAGCGGCACGCGACGTGGATAAGCTTTTGTATCTCGTGGATAATCAGCTGTTTTTCATACACCCTCTTGTGAGTTGGGCCCTGGTTAGCATATCTTGCTGCCCCATCCTCACCATGATCATATACAGACTATTTTGCGGCCACGAGACCAAGCATGCACCCGCGTACTCCCTGTGTCTGTTTCAATCTGTGCTCATTTACTCCACACCAATGCTGTGGGCCGCTTGTTCCAACAGTACTCCGTTGATACTGCCACTGAATGTTGCTAAACAGTGCTGCCTACTGGGGGTCGGCAACTCCTGCCAGCCGAATGTCCGCGTGACCGTGATTGTCACACTCGCGTCTCACAATCCGGCCTCGCTACTCATCTCGGGTTGTGTGGCATATTCCTTCGTGGTAGTGAGCTCTACTACAATGAGATAGATTGGTTGTCTCAGATACAGGGCTATATGGATAATATCTACAATAAGAAGCACTATTATAGTCTATATAGTGCTCTATATTAGTAATAAAGCAGTATTCTTCAGAGTCCTCAGGCATTACAGCAGCTGGCTGGTAAAGAATTAAAAGGGTAGACTTCAGAGAATCTCTTGACAGCCTCCAATAGTGCAGTAATCTTTGCAGATCCTATCTTCCGGAATTGAGTCTTCTGTCCTCGAGAACGCCCTATCCAGGGCCTATCCATGACGAGGAAGCCCAGCAGATCAATCAAGCAGCCCAGAATAGCTGCGNGACCAGCCAGAAGTG